CCTGCCCACACCGAAGTGGCTGTCCCATGGGGAGGGAGTTCAAGGACCTCCTTTCAAGGTCGCAGACACTTGATCATAGTTGACTCCTTGTCTCAGGCAGAGCAGTATACATCGAGGCTTAGAAAGAAAGGCTGCAGGGAGGCAGAAGGATGAAGCCTCTGAAAGCTTGTGGGCAAATGGGCCTGGTCACCTGTTGGGGAGCAGGGATCTCAGACATCGTGCACCCAACAACATCCTCGGAGAGCTTCGTGGCCACCAAGGGTATGTGTTCCCCCTGCCCTGAGAACTGAGGGCCAGAGGAAAGCTGTGCCCTTGGCCATGCCCCGTGACCATCCTGCTGTCACCCCTGCAGCACTCAGGGTCAGTGCGACTAATGGCCATTTCAGCTGCCAAGCTCGCAGACCTAGCACCGTGCCTTGGCTTCATCATGGTAGCAATTGAGCTCATCTTTATTGCCCTAGAGATGGACAGCATTGTTACCATCTTCCCCACTTTAGAGATGAGGAAACTGAGGCTCGGGTAGACTAGCTCACATGCTCAAGATGTCACACAGGTGGTTGTGACAGGTGGCATTAAGTCTTTGAGATGAGTTTCAGGGGCGTTCACCCCCTCGCCGGTGCTGCAGGTGCCGTGGCAGATACAGGATCAGGCTTCTGCTCTGGGGGTAGTGTGGGCTCCAGGCTCCCCGGACCCTTCTCCTGGGGCGCACCCACAATTGGCGGACAGTGACTGATGTCCATCTGCACCTCATGGCCATCAGACTCCAAGAAGTGAGGCAGCTTGTGTGGACTCTGGCAGCTAAAAAGTGACAAGACAGGACTCACACTCTGCCGTGGGCCTCTGGCCAGGGTGCCTCCTACTCTTTCACACAGCCCTGCCTGCCCCGTGTTCATGGGCACTCAGAGACCAGGGAGTCTGCTGCTTTGAGGAAACGTCTTGAACCAGTAGGAGTTCTCCAAAGAGAGATGCAAGGAATCAATATCTAGACAAAAGCAAAGAGGGATGAAGTATGGGTGTGTTGTGAGACTGGCTCATGAAGCTGTAGGCCTGAAGGGAGAGCATCATGGGTAACAGAGGCTCGGGAGTTAGGTCACCTCCCACGATTAGGTGAGATTGCAGGTGTCAGTCTGTTCCCAGGAGGTCATACAGTGCGCCAACTTGGACTTGGCACTGACTGCAGCAGGGTTCCTCACTCACACTTCCCAGGACTTCAAGTGCAAGTACTTATACCATCTATTTCACACAGAGAGAAGCCAAGGCCCAGAGAGATTGTCATTTCCTCCGGGGATGTCGGTAAATGTGGGGAATTCCTTTTGAAGGCAGACTGTCGGGAACCTTTTGTATTAACCATGGGTATCCCAGGGCCCCTAGCTCTTAACTGTGGGGTCAGGAGAGATGAGAATCGTCAACCATCAAAATGCCAGACTTCGCAAGTTGAAGTGTTCGGGACTTTTCCAGAAGGTGAAGGGCTTGAATAGGACGCTGACCTGGCCCACTGAGGACTGGACCCAGCACACAGTAGGTGCTGGGCAGCTATTTGGTGGAAAGCTCTTACATGACTGGCGGACTGGCATCTGGGTACCTAGGTTGAGGATGAACCGAATGAATGACGCTGGTTAGGAGATGAAGAGGTTGGTTTTGAATGGATCGGGCTGTGCCTGCTCCTCTGTGTTTTACGTCGAGAAACCTGGGGCGCGTTCCGAAACCTGAGTGGAGGGTTACAGTGTATGGTCGAGAGCCGAGCTGGCCTTGCACAGCTGTGTGGCGTGAGCTCCACAGGAAGGACGGTGGGTGGGATTGGAGCGCCTCCACACCATCCTTGGAGGGCAGTGGGTGCCTCACTGAGACCTTGAAGGCGGGACGCCATGTGGGCTGGATGCCCATGACTCATTAACCGGGAGCTTTCCTTTCACCACTTTGAAGGGCAGAGAGTAGCCAGCACTGGCCAAGCCACCGTGAGGCCCAGGGAGCTGCTGTGTGTGCTTTATGCGGGTGGAAGGGTCAGGGTCACAGCGGCTCTTCTCATCTGAAAATGAGGGCCCTCGCCTGCCCCTGGAGGGAGGACCAGCTGTGTAGATGAAGCAGCAGGTGGTGGCTGCAGACAGGGTGGGCTGTTGCTGTCCTTGGCCAGTGCACTTTACAGGCCATGCCAGGATTTCTACCTCTCCCCTCCTGGGGCTTTGTATGCTGGTGCCGGGAATCCCAGAATCTGCCCATGGCCCCCTTTTGTGCCCTACCCACGACACCACGAAGTGAAGTGCCTCAACCAAACGGGCACATGACACAAACCCAGGTACAAGCTGAGATGCCCCCCTTCTCCGCACCGCCCTCCCCCAAGCCACCCCTGACCCAACTTGTCCTGGCCTGGCTGGCAGATGGGGCCAGACTCCGTTTTGGCGGCAGATTTCCACATGCTGTCAATTAACTGGGTTTGCCTCACAAGAGCCTGTATTATTTGATGCCGTTCTAAGAACCCGTGTGCCGGGCGCTGCCAGTGGGCTCCTGTGCTAAGCAGCCTCACAGAAGGGAGCGGCCTCTTTGAACTGCCCTCCACCCGCGACACTGCTTTCTCTTTCTCGTGGTTGTACGGCTGCCTCTCAGCATGCTCTTCTGTGGTGGCTTCATCATGCACACACACACATTTACGTGCTCTCAGCATGCAGACCCCCACACAGCCCGATATACAGCAGGCCTCCCTTACAGCCCTGGAAGAGAGCTCGGATCCCTGTGGACCCTGTCCCGTTCAGCCCCACCCCCACAGGCAGATTGGCCAGTCGTAAGGGTCAGGGAAGACAGGCAGTAACCCTCCTGTGGTCCTTTGTGTCACATCCAAGCACAGCCAACCCATCAGCACCTGCTCTGACTCCACATCCCTGTGCAAATGAATCTTTCAGTGCTCTGTGCCCCCTTGCACAAGCAGCAGTAACTAGGGGCTTGGGAGGAAAATGAAGAATGTATTCTCCATTGATAGGCTGCCTCTCCTCCAGCTGTGGCAAATGAGTGTCAGGCACCCACATTAGGGGCAGATGCTGGCCAGAGTGGAGCCATCTCCTCTTTCTACCAGCCCTCCCCATCATGGGTGGTGATGGAATGCACCCCACAGAGGGGGCAAGACAGGTCATGTAGGATACAGGAGGAACTATGAACCTGCAGCCTACTTTCATAATTCACCACTGGTATCCCAGCCCGGGGAAGGCAACAGCTGCCCTCTTGGGGGTAGGGCTCGGGCTGCATCCCAGCTCCAACTCACCGCCTTGGTTGGGTACCTTTTCACACTGCACAGGCTGGACACCTGTACCCAGCAACTCGGTGGCGACTCCTTGCCACCCCTCTCACCCCTGCACAAACCACTGCCTGGTCTCCAACAGGCTCCCAGAAATGTGGCTACCCCTCTCCCATCAACGAGAGGCCAGAGAGAGAGCTCTGGCCGCTGCTCTGTTCTCCCCAGAATGCTGGGACCAGTGGGTGGACAGAGGCAGAGGCTGATAGGAGCCTGTGCTGTGGGGCCGGGCAGTTTGCCAGGGTAAGGAGTCCTAGGGTCTTCCCGCAGGCCACCAAGCACAAACTCAGAGGGGCCCAGAGGCTTGGGAGACTGACTGTCCTCTCACACTTTTGCTCCAGCCTCTGGTGCCACAGGGCCTGGATCTCTGCCCCTCTGTAACAGGGCATATAACAGCTGGCCTGGGATGCCCTTGCAAGGGGTGAGGCAGGCATGGGAAAAGGATGCAGAAGCCTCTGTCCTGTGTCCAGATGGGGGAGCCTCACACTGAGGGTGAGGTCTTCGCATCCAGCCAAATGGCAGGGTGTGCTGATTCAAAATGCCACCGGCTGCCTAGATCAGTTCTTCTAGAACAGCCTTCTAGAACAATCTAATCAGTGTAGCTGAAGTCCTCAGGGCAGGAATGGGGCATTGGCTGGATGTGGTCACCCCTCTGGCATCCACACAGCCTCTGTCGCTTTCCTATTTGCTCCTCACCACAGGTTTGGGAGGCAGGCAGCCAGAGGAACTCGGCCCCCATGTGATGTACAGGCACACTGAGACCTGAAGAGGGGTCTGTAAGCTTCTAGGGCCACAGAAGCTCAGCCCAGCCTGTCAGCCTCACTCTGTCCTACTGAACGACTAGGACTGGACGCTGAACTCCAGAGTCACGTGCTTTTGACCACACTGGGGCAGCAGTGAATGAAAGGAAGGGGGCACTGTGCGTGCCCCCCCCCTCCCCCGCCCAAGTCATGTCTCAGGTAACCCCAGGCTCTTTTGTCTTGGTGGTAACCGCCCTGGGATTTGGAGGGTTCTCACATGTATTTGATGCCCTGGCTGACCTTAGCCAAGCCACCTGCCCCCACTGTCCCCTGCCCTGGAAATCCTAGCCTACGTCCTCCCAGTAGTGAGCACCCTAACAGTGACTGTGGGCTGGACTGAACGGAGACATGGTGGGTCCTAGGCCCAATGGGTATTTTCTGGGTGGGGTGTACCCAGGGAGAGCCTAGGGACATGCATGGGATCATCCACAGGTTCCCAGAAGGCTCTAGGTCTTGTTTACATTTTGTGATTTTGGAGCCATGCCCCCAGACCCAGGAAGAAGCCACATACTGCTGATTGTCTCGGTTCAAACAAGGTGGGTTGGGTGGGCTTCCCAGGGACACCTGGGGTGGCTGGCATTGCCTACCCCGGCTTTTCACGTCTCACCTCAGTGTGAGTCTCTGCATCCAATTAATTGACTTGGCTCTTCCCTGCCTGCGGCCTCTATCCTCCTTATAGTACCAGCTGCTGAAGATGAACCTCCTGATTTTTTCTTACAGCAATAGAAAATGCTAGTACCCCGCAGGGCTGTGTTAGTGCCCCACTGAGGCCTGCTGGGAAAGTTTAGTGATGCCCTTGGTGTCTGCACACGAAGCTGGGGGCAGACCCAGCACCAAGCCAACTCAATGTGGGAAGCGCACAGTGTCCTGGGTGTGTGTGACGGCCGGCTGCCTGTTGACCATGCTTTCCTTGCTTACAGCCCTGCTGTCCTCCTGGTGTGAAGAGCTCGGCCGGCTGCTGCTCCTCCGACATCAGAAGAGCCGCCAGAGTGACCCCCCGGGGAAACTCCCTATGCAGCCCCCCCTCAACTCCATGAGCCCCATGAAACCCACTCTGTCGCACAGGTGAGGGGACGGGTGCCACCAGGAGGGGGCGGGTAGGGCTCCGTGGAAGAGTTCCTTAGGTGTAAGAACAGGGGCCCGCAGCCTCAGCAACTGTGAGGATGTTACATGCTTTCTTTTTTTTTAAAGCCTGGACTTGCTACTAAGAGCATAATCTACATATATATATATTTAAAATCATTTTAATGGGGGCTTGTACAACTCTTATCACAATATATTTACATATGTGCATACATTACATACATACATCCATTGTGGCAAGCACATTTGTACATTTGTTGCCCTCATCATTCTCAAAACATTTACTTTCTACTTGAGCCCTTGGTATCAGCTCCTCATTTTCCCCCTCCCTCCCT